GCTCCCACCTGCAGAAGAAATACAAATTAAATAAACAGATTGAAAATAAGCTTAAATGAGGGGCCTATAAAACAAAATGCAGAAAGCATTGCTCTTTACCCTGGGGGCAAGGGACCATTGTTTATGGGAGCCACCCTGGGAATTGTTGCTGAGGCACTGGCCCCTTGTTTAGGAACACTTGCTGTCTGTGGGGAACTTGATGTTGCCGCCCTTGCATTTGATTCATTCTGCTGATCTGAACACCCACTAGCTGATGCCTGAGAGGAACCATCGGAAGCTGGGCCTTCGCTGAGTTCACTAGGAGAAGAACTGCTAGAAGAGGCTATGAAATGAGCAAGAACAAGAGTAGGGAACCTTTAAGTCTGTGAAAAAAAATGTTCTTTCTATTTTCAAAGGTGTATTTGTTTTCAAAAGCGTAGTGACTTTAATACTGACTGAAGTCAGTATTCAGTGCTTTAGCTAGTATATCAAAGAATAATGGTATATTAGACATGAGGGAGATTGAAATCACTCATGTGATGTATATGTAAGCCATTTAATCTTTGATGTCTTATAGTTTTCCTACATGGTGAAGCTGCCGGTTTCTGTCGCATAGGAGGGGGCGGTCGAGTAGGTCCAGAAGGAAGTGATGCAGTGGAGCCCCCTGGAGACCGTGAGGGAGAACTTGTACCATTGACAGCATGCACATTTGGTACAATGACCCATTCATCTGAGTCACTTGAAGGTGATGAGCCTCCGCTTGACCTACAAGTACAAAATACTTAATATTTGAGTAGTTTTCCAAGACCAAAGATTTAAAATGTTTATTTAATCTTACAAAACCAATGTCCAAATATTTTAATGCAATAGTATCTTAAGATCATTAATTAAAGATTTACTAGACCTGTCACCAGTATCTCCATTTTGCCGCGTATTTCCATTTGGAAGAGCAGCTAGCAAGCCATAAAAACAAAAATAAAATTAAAAACAAAAATCAAAATCAAAGTAAAAGACAAATGTTTAATGTGACATTCAAAAATGTATGTGTAACTCCCAAGTTCTCAAATGCTTGGGTGCAAATGTAGTCACTAATGCAGGTAGATATAAAGGTTACAAGTAATGCCAAGGTCTTGTCAGGGCACAGAACACTGATAAGCATTTACAACCTGGCAGCAGTTTCCACCTTGTTACCTCATTGCTATCAGATTCATTAATAATGACCAACATGGTAACAAGCTAAATTTATTCTGCAATTCTATTCATTTTCACATTACAGATTATGAGCATTCGTGTTCTAAAATTGCAAATGTGTCCCACATAGTATACTGGGTTTGTGTGAGCGTGGTCTCTCACCTTGTTCTCTCTCTGCCAAGCCAAAGGTTTCTGGGTCTACCTGCATGCCATCCAGACAGACTGACAAGTCACCTACAAGATCCTGGGGGTCTCTGTCAGAGCACAGCTGCAGTGTCTGCACGACCTCACATACTTAAGGGGGACAGAATACATGTCAAGTTTTAAGCAGGCACTGTAATTGCAAGACAAGAGAACACATACGATACCATAACACAAAAGAATAAAAGCAATTATTAACGATGTCCTGGTTTAATTAAAAACTGCTCCCACAAGCACATTGTTCTCCTAGTAACATTTATTACTAAAATAAACAAATACTGAAGAACAATTTCCTATGGGGTCTCAGATTGTTATTAATCACCTGATTTTTAAAGCAGTGTTTCCTTTTTTAGCCCAAACTGTGACAGTGTGAAAACAGCAGAGCTGAAAAACTCCAGTCACAAGGAATGCCTCAAAAACCATGTGCAACAAGAATCTCATTCAGTGCTTTAAAAATCACAGACAAGTAGCTCTTACAGAGAATGTAGACCAGACTGTAATGTCACATGTTTTGTGTATGCTATGCACACTGACCAGGTCTGATGAAGCATTGTATTTAGTTACATCAAACACTGAAAAGCTCATGTGTATAGGTGATGCAGTGTACAGCATCTACAAAATGTGCATCAATTACATTAATTGTGAGACATAGACAAAGAAAATGAAGTCAGAAAGGGAGTTCAAAAGTGCTCCAATTTGTTATTATCATGAAATCATGAAGTCATGTAGTAACAGCTTTGTCTTTATACAATTTACGATTTTGTACAGCTCAACTCCAAGAACCTAGAAATATTAGCCGTATACTCATTTCCTCAGAACATCTTTCCGTATCCAAGGTTAATATAGAAAATAGCAGCACAAGTATCCTTGTGCTACAACATTTTCACAACTGTCTCATGCATGGCTGTAGCTCAGGAGGTACAGCTCCTATTGATGAGAAGGTCAGTTGTTCAATTCCTCCAGTCTGCATTTCAAATTATCCTATAGGCAAAGTACTGAACCTTGTGTTGCACTCATCAGCGTGTTATAATGAGTGTGACAAAAGCACTAAGGATAGAAAAAAGTGCCTGTATAAACATGTGAATGAAAGTGTTTTGAGTGCTCAAGTAAAGTAGAAAAGTGCTACATAACTTCCAGTCCATTTACCATATCATGCCAATAGTGGGGGAAAAAAAATCGCCACTTAGGAAAATGAACTTACATTTCATGTCATTGGCCTTAAGGGTCTTGCTGATTTCCAATGTAGCTAGACCCAATAGAATGTCTGACTTGAGTGTCTGATGGCTCCAAACACGAAATATCAGTTTGCTGAACGGCGTCACAATTCTGTAGAAAGGTGAGAAATTTTCAGCATATAGCACCAACCAATACGATACAACAGCAGAGAAATAATTGAGGGAATCTGTACAGCTTCTTAGCTTTTGTTTGAAACTCATCAAGCATTGATACTTTTTGTTTTGTTTTTCCCACCTCCACGTACAGAGGAAATCCAATTAATAAGTCTATGATGATTTTAATCCTCCATTATATCTTACATTACATTTACTGTTCTCAATTGCAAGATTCTGCTAAAATATGGACCTAAACAAATTTTCGCAGTTGTACTCACACTGTGAGAGCCTGCTTCCATTTAGGGCTGTGTGTGTTGTTGCATTTCTCAGTCCTCTTTGACTGGCCATCCACTGCTATTTCAACATATGGACTTGGACCAAACCAGGTCTTTTTGTTTTCCTTCAGCTTAGCTGAAAGCACTGGAAAAATAGAAATTCTAGTCATGGAAAACCAAGATTTTAAAACCACTTCCTGTAGCCCCATGCATCCTGAGCTCAACAGCAGTCAGTTTATTTACATCCAGCTTTAAGGTATTTTTTTTAAGACCAAGGGATTCATCAAAATCTAGGTTTCCATGACAGGTGTTAAGCATATTAATAATGATAAAAGAAAACCCCGTTAAGAATTTATCACAGTCCTCTACTGGTTTTTGTTAAATGATGAGCATACAAATTTTGCAAAAACAATAACTTACCAGTAACTTGCAACTGGGCCTTCATGGTTCATCCATAACATTAGAGCCTAAGTGGCAACAACAAATGAACCTCCAATCAATGTTATCACATATAACTTAATACTTAAAGAGTGAAAAATATAACCTGATTTATAGTCAACTGTGAGTAAGCAATCTAAATAAAACAAAGAGATACTTGAGACAGATTCTGGTATCTGGGATCATTTTTGTTGACTCAAAGATAACATGTTATCTCAATTATCACTCTGGTTAAATATTTAAATTGACTGTGGTTTACAATACAAAAATAAACAAATTGAGCTATACCCTCACTAGCTTCGCAGCACACAGGCCCAGGGAAATCATTCATAACTGCTGTCCAAATCTGTCACTCATCTGGTAGAGCTTGTAAATCACCAAACCGCATTGCTATGTGTGCTAGACAGTCAATTTTAGTAATCAAAACAGAGCCTGAACTAAATAATGGTTGGTCAGTATAAAAAAAAAATTGTATTGGCATACATATTGTTCATTGTTGAGGTTTGAGATATTGGTACTGAGAAACTGAGGTTGTATGGAGTAAAATGATTTCTGCTTGTTAGTTTGTGAGGTTTTATATATATATATATATAAACAGAAGGGAAACGAGACGGAGGATATCAGTCAGTAAACTGATATCTGATCTCGTTGCGCATTAGGCTCAATTTTCTCACAGGTTAGCAGTAATGTTAGCCAACAGAAGATTAGTTATTAAGACAGCGTTAAACACTAGACTCTAGTAGAGTTTCCGTTTAAGCTGTCACATCACCATCACTAGCCAGCTTGTAAACTGTTTCATAACTGTAACGAAGGCGGACAAGTTCAAGAACCTGGAACTTTGCACACCGATATCCTGATCAAGGCTTTAGCTAACCATGCATTAAACCCACGCTCGAAATGCTAACACCACTTTCACTCCTTCGACTATTTAGAGGAGGAAAAATCAAAGCTGTTCCTTGGAAGAACTCTAAGTGACCATACCTGATGAAAGAAGAAGATGAAGAGTGACAAAAACTTTAGTTTCAGCTATGTCTGAATGATGACAGGTAAGATAACAACATCAGCTCAGACCAGTGATCCGCTAGCTTGAACAAGTCCAGGTTTTCCGGTACAAGTTTTTCATAATAAAGCATTGGAGAAAAAGGCTTATTATCTATATAATCTGATTATCTATATAAGTTATAAGCAACATTAGGCGTCAGACCATGTTAATTTTTATTATAAAGTTATACACAATCAAAAACAAAAAGACAAAAATAAAACAGCACGATGCACCAGACTATATTTGTCTTGGTATTTTTGTCCCCCAGCTTGCTGCTATTATAAGTCTGGACTAGAGTAGTTTTGTCATTTGATTTCTGTCTGCAGCATTAGTAGATGTCGCCTATAGGCAAGCTTTTATTTTGAAGGGATGTTGAAGCTGCTGACATTGCGATAAAAAGATAAAACAATCGTATAATTTAACAATATACAAGATACGTTTATGTTCCTTTAAATTTTATATTGTTTGGCAGTACATACTAAAATATATGGTTTTATTTATGAAATTATTCAGGCATTTACTCGATGGCCAAAGTGTGGACACGCCCACGTGTGACATCCGTCTTTTTAGTCCCGTGACACGGCTGTAATTGTTAGCAGTCAGCAAGAAACGCCGCGGTGTGGTAAATGAGATGTTATTTGTTCTATGAGCAGTCACTTTCGCCATTAATATAACGTCTGCTGAAGCACGATGTTATCTCGTCTATTGAAGGAGCACCAGGCGAAGCAAAATGAGCGGAAGGAGCTGCAGGGTGTGTGATAACAAAAATCGATAGTGATAGCTGCCAGTGCTAACCATTGCTAAAAACAAAGCTCTCTTTGACTTAGGATGTCCCAGCACCACACAGTGCTACAGTCCGGTGTTGATTGGTTGTAGTAATGTCTTTTTTCTCTCACAGAGAAACGCAGACGTGAAGCAATTGCTGCTGCCACTTGTTTGACAGAAGCCCTGGTAGACCACCTCAACGTTGGGTATGACGGTGATTCCTTTCTTTTTTCTTTTTTCTTATTTCTTGCTGTTCATTTTGGTTTGGTAGTATTTAAGGAATGCTCAGTCATCCAGGTAAGTAAATCTCCAAAAGTTGATTCTGTTCATCTGGACGTAGCGTTTTTAGTGGGAGTAACGTTTCGCCACTCTTCCAAGTGACTTCTTCAGTCTCAGTTTACTGCAGGTTTCCCCAATCGTATAAACAGTACATTTGCATAATGATCGAAACTAACACCACTGAAGGAACAATGCGCTGGGAGGTCAGTTCCATTGATCAACAACCACTGATCAAAGCCCATTGATCAATGGCCATGAGTACCATTCACATAGAGTTGGGGAATGGCTGCAATCACAGCACTGTAAGATGCCAAGAGATGTACCCTTAGACCCCCTTCTCGATTCAGAGATGGTCTTTACCTTTTCACGTAAATGGCCTCCTTGACTACGCGCTCAAACCAGCGTTCCTCCCTGTCCAGGATGTGTACATCCTCATCATTGACACTACAGGCCACTAGACTGTAGTGTCTAGTAAATAGACTGCGGAGGTAGCTTTTCTGTGTTGTGCCATCCGCTTCGCCTGAGGTTGTTTGGTTTCCCCGATGTATAAGTCCTGGCAATCCTCCTGGCACTTAACAGCGTACACTATGTTACTCTTGTTTGCGTCGGGCGACCTGATCCTTGGGGTGGACCAATTTTTGTCACATCGTGTTTTGGGGTTTAAAAGCCACAGGAGACACGGTGTTTAGCAAAAATGTGTCTTGATACTTCTGAAATATACAGAATCACTACAGGTTTTTGCTTAGGCCAAAACGCGCTGCGGCAAAAATTGGTCCACCCCCAGGATCGGGTCCAAAACTCATCCAGGTTTCGTCACTTGGATGAGTGACAAAACGTTTCTCCCCCTGAAAATGCTACGTTCAGATGAACAGAATCAACCTTTGGAGGTCCCACAGAAAGGTACATTTCACGCAATCTCTCTGGAATATTGGACATCTATGTCCTGCACCAATTGTATTATTTACTTTTAAGTGTTGCTCTGAAAGCTGTACTTGTTTCAGCACCAGTAATTATTGATTTTCTTTTTTACATTGCAAGTTTAGTCAATGAAAAGTAAGCAAGTTGTGAAAAATCTCTGAGCCCAATATTAACTTTCCACATGTTGTGTTGTCTACAACCACTATTCAAAATCTAAGGATATTTAATGTGAAATGAGAATAAAGTTAGAGAATATGTTACATTAAATATTTTTTTGCTTATTTAAAGTCAAGTGTAAACAATTTTAAAAGTATCTTGATTTTAGTGTGATGTTAATAGCTAGTAATTATTTATTATTTGTATCCCACTAATTAATAATAATTTTTCGACTGATTACTTCGTATATGGTATGTCAGTGCCAGGCTGACACAAGGCTGTCACACACATCAGATTTTAGTCATACTGTTTCTCCAGGCGTTCACATTACTGACACCTTCTTCGGACCAAATTAATCAAACAGTTTATTCTTAACAGGATGGACATCGCCTAATATTTAATACAGCCAAAAACAGTATGCTGAAATTATTAACAATGTATTGTGAAAGATGTGATGAAACCAGGACAATCGGCTTAAGAGACTCAGAGTGGGATGCAAAGACCATTATTGTTGTGCTGCTCCTGCATGAAAAAGATTAGCCACCAGACCAAAATCCTTCTGGGACAAAGAGAGATTTTTACTATATTGAGTAACAGTGTATGGTTTCAGTGTATTGAAATTGTAGCGGCTATATGTATTATAATGCCCTAAACCTCATTATTTTGTTCTGTTTCATTTTAGAGTTGCACAGGCATATGTAAACCAGCGAAAGCTTGACCATGAGGTTAAGACTCTCCAAGTGCAGGCAAGCCAGTTCTCCAAACAAACTGCTCAGTGGATCAGTATGGTGGAGGGTTTCAATCAAGCATTAAAGGTAGGTTAAAAGGAAATGGCTGTCGTCTGTCATCATCTCAAATCTACCATATCAGTCTTGAACACAGTCATGTTGCAAAATGATTTTGCAGCAAACATCAGCATTTTTTCAAGGTCAGTTAGGATGAAAATGTTAAAAGAACTTTATGATATTTAATAATATTGTACTTGTAATGATAATTCGTTTGACATGTTTTTTTGTCAGTATAATTTTTATCCAAAAATTCCCTAAAATACATCCCCTTAAGTGTGTCAGCAGGCTAACTTCTAGCTGCAGTTCTTTGTGCAAGTGTGAGGAGTAAAACACATTAAAACTGTAACACTAGACGCTGGAGCAAATAAAGTACTATTGTAACCTTGTGTTAAATAACGTCAGGAGTACATACAAACAAAACTGTTTATGCATCTTCCAAAGATCTGCGCTCTCTGTTGTGCACTGGCAGTTCCAGGTCAACACATCGCACTTGTGTAAAATACAAACTGGATCATGATTGGCTTTGGAGTTATTTGTGACATCACCAAGGAATTGCTTGTACAAACACATTTTAATTAGGGACTTAATCTGAGCTCAACACACTTTTCCCCTTTTGAAAAAGAATCCAAAAAACACATTTTGGGAATTAAATAGTGGGTTATATTTGTACATTAACAAGGTTGTGAATACTAATTTTTTTCATGCTCTCATTTAAACAGGAAATCGGAGATGTAGAAAACTGGGCACGCAGTATTGAGATGGACATGAGGACAATAGCAACAGCACTGGAGTATGTACACAAGGGTCAGCTTCAGTCTGCTTGCTCATAAACCATGAACATGTACGTGCTGGACATTTGCAAGTGAAACTGAATACACTGGAATAACATTTAAATCTACTTGAGTTGACTCCTATCAGCGAATATGTGTTTTGCCTTTGTCAGCAGTTTATTTGCTTGTCTGCACTCCCCTCTAAGTTTGCCAGGGCAGCTCAGATGAACATCAGAATTCTGCTGCTTTAACAATTAAATGCACATGTGCAGAAATTGTTATGTTGTTGTGTTAGCAGCAGTGTTGGAGGTGCTTACAGATCAAGGTTGCAACAACCTAAATGGCAGTAGATAAATATTTAGAATAGAATAATTCATGTACAAATGGGGGGGCTCTCACCTGTGGCACCTGTGGCCTACTTTTTCTGAAACAGGAGAATCTGACGATGGCCTCCAGGGGTGGAAGAGGAATCATTTTTGGGGCAGTGTTAATTACCCTTTGCATAGCCTTCCTATTCTCAGTTGTGGTCCTTGCGTACTTGATGAGTGGTAGAAGGCCAGCAGCAGCTCCCGGTCCTGGTTATTCTTCCTCAGGACACAGTCGTGTGCACAGGGCATACATACAGTAGGGGGCTAAGAACACAGTCCTGCAGGGATCCTGTCACTCCATGTGGTGAGTGACAGTAGGCGATAGAGGTGGGGGCCGAGTCAGACAAATTGGTTCACTACATTGCCTGATTTGTTGAATAAAAGAGGAAAAAGTAACATTGTTGTAAAGATTCAGTTTACCCCTTTGCAATAGGTTGAAGAAGCCACAGACATAATAAACACCGGTTACCTTTATTTAGTATATCCAAAAAAAGCATTTTGTTTTATGGCTTTCTTTTCTGTGCCTGATACCTGAACGATGGATGGATTTCAGATGTTGTTAATGATGGAAAAATATTTTAATAAAGTTTAAAAATCTTCACTTGTGTTTTCTTCTTATAAACAAATGTGTTAATTGAACAGTTGTTACATATAAAGACATTGGGAGCAAGGAAATGTGAATATTTGTATAAAGTACCTCATTTAAGAAAGAAAAGCCTGTAGGCTGCTTTTTAAGGAGATACATTGTCAGGAGGTTCATATGCACAGCAGATGTCAGTGTTGGGTAAGCACAGATTAAATCTTTACAACACAACTGGAGAACAAGTGAGAGTTAAAGGCTGTGAGGGTTGCAAGTGGGCAGTTTCCTTCAAAATTACTTCAGGATCAAGAATTGTTTTTTTCATAATGGCTTCAGTGTACCTGTTACAAATGTGAAAATCCCAAAGAGACCTGAAAATGTATAGACTTGCAACTATTGCAACAAGTTTTGATATAAATATAGTAAGTGGATAAATACCTGCCTGGCTAAGGTGCTTGGACAGTTTGTGGAATGTGTGACGTGTCAGTGAGTGTGGCTTGTGAGTTCACTAATCGTATTACAGGCAAGAAATTTACCACACGAGACTGCTCTTAATCTAATTTTAATGTAAAAAAAAAAAAAAAAGGTTGGATGTATTTGTTCTTTTTCCACTGGCCCAAAAATTACGCAGGTCATAGAGACTGTTAAAAGAGTACTGTATGAGCTTTATTACTGATATAACTGTCAGGTGAACTGAGGCAGTCACAGATTGTACTCATGCTTGGTCCTACAGGATTATCACAATTTGTATAAATACTCTTAAAACACAAAGTATTCATGCCGCTGTAAACTAGGAACCTTCAGGCTTTGAAAATATATACTGTATACACTTTGTGGTGCACCATTTGAAAGGACCTGACGTAACATGTTAAAATGTCTTTAAGAAGATCTTGAAATCCAAGTGCACGTCACAGAAAAGGGTTTTTGTTTGTTTCGTTCCCACCACCTTTTTTTTAAACACACCAACCAAATGGTTACGCGTTGCTGGATTACCAATAGCGGGCTAGTCTAAAGGGATAAACAACAGGGATAAAGCTTCTGTCCAACCAGCTGAACTAAGACTGGAGAATAACCAGAAAGGGAACAGGAAGAGGAGCGACAACGTGTGGAGCGCCATCACTTCCCAAAAGATAAAAAGGTAGGGCAACACAGTTTTGTGTTTTACTCACCACTTCAGTTTAATCAAAGAAAGTAATTAGTTTAAAAGTGAATATTAAAAACTCAAGATATGCAGAAATGGACTTTTGAGTTTTATCTGATTATAAATTTACACTGATTGAGATTTAAACAGTTATTAGCAAATTTAGTAAACCACATGTCATAAAAAACAAGAAAACATATTTTAGAAATCTGTCAAAAACCAGTTAAAAACAAAAAAAGTATGTTGTCATTGGCTATTAGGCTAATAGCAAACTGATTTCATGGTTTTGTATCCAAATTTGAAATGGAACACTAGAGAAGTCCCTGAGAAGTCACAAAATTAATCAAGTATTTAGCATTCAGTTGGAAAATTACTGTAATTTGGCATCAAAAATAATAATGTGGTTTATTATTTTTTTCTGCTTTTTTTGTAAAATAGCAAATTTGAACATTTGTGGTTAACCAAAATAATTATATTCTAGCATTAAAAATATCATTACGGTGAAAGAGCTTGTACACACTGGTGGATTAACGATTACAGAAACATAAGAAATCAATTTGGTAATTACCAATATTGTTAATTTAGGGCAGCTGTAGCATAAACCTTGCACTGACATCTCTCTCTTTCTGAGAGAGTGTTCTGGTTCAGAAAATGTAATTATAACTCTACTTGCTAACTTAATTTATCCCAAATGTAACAAGATTTTAACAAGTATTAGTTTTTCCACACAATAAATATTTTGGATACCTTAAGCCACAGAAGTTTTTTTGTTACAATAATAAGCCTGCAGACTAATTAGTTTTCAGCAATCCCAAGCAGATCCGTTACGGGTATTAAAATTATGCATCAAAAACATGTCTTCGTCCCCCCCACTCACTGGGTTTTACTCCATCACAAATGCCTTTTCTTTCTTCCTTAAGAGTATTATCCAAAGATTTATCACATGCCCAGAGCAGCCAAAGCAGTTTTGCATTAGGGGCACCCTTCAATTATGGCTCTCACTGAACAAATTCATTGTGTCAAATAGCTGTCAAAAAGATGAAATAAAACAATATAAAGCTTCAATAAAAACCTAATTATTGTGGAATTGAGACAAAATCGGTTTTGCAACATTCCTGAAACGTATCAATGTATTTCTGATTTACATTCTCTTCTCTGAAAACTGTATTTGAGAGCTTCCCATGTCAGTACATACTAACATGTTATTTCAGCAGGCATCAAGTTCTCACAGTGACTGAAAAACTACTTCTAGTCCTGAAGGCATCATGGATACACAGTTTGTGTATGACCTTTTAGGGTAAGAAATACCAAAACTAAACTTTGACTTCTTGATTTCTTTGCTACCTGTAGTCATACCGTACCATACTCACAGATGCAGATGTGACAGTCAAATACTTAACATTCTTATTACATATTATTTGATCTCTTTTAGGGAAAATGCTTGGTTATACATCTCTGCTACCTTCATTGTGTTGTGGATTGTCGGGTGGCTCTACAGAGACAGCTTGGAGATTGAGGATTTCAAAAATAAGTATGTCTTTGTTACTGGCTGTGACACGGGGTTTGGAAACCTGCTGTGCAAGAAACTGGATCGTAAAGGTTTCCGTGTACTAGCTGGCTGTCTCACAGAAAAGGGAGCTGATGATCTGAAAAGAGTGGCAGGGCCTTATCTGAAGACTGTCCTGCTGGATGTGACCAGTCAGGATAGCATTGAAAAAGCAATGGAGTGGACCAAGCAAGAGGTTGGCGATAAGGGTGAGAGATGATTTCCTACAGTTACATATATGATTGTAGGACATTATTAGATCACACAAGGCAAGCCTGTAAACAAAACACAACATCATGTTTTCCTTGTTTTGTCTTTTTATTTGCTTTGTAGGACTTTGGGGTCTTGTGAACAATGCTGGACGTTCATTACCCATGGGTCCATCCGAGTGGATGAAAGTGGAGGATTTCCACAGCACACTGAAAGTAAACATGAATGGAGTGATTGCCATGACAATGACCTTCCTGCCCCTCATCAAACAGGCTCGTGGTCGTATTGTAAATGTAGCATCAGTGCTTGGTAGAGTGGCAGCAAATGGTGGTGGATACTGCATTTCCAAGTTTGCAGTAGAATCTTTCTCTGACTGCCTCAGGTAAGACTCATTTAAAGGGCTGCTGCAACCATATATATTAGCTTAAGGACCCAGTTGGTACTTTCTTCTTATTTAGAAAGACAGACAGTGTATCATAATTAGAAAGTTAGCATGGGTGATACAGTTTTATTACATTTTCAGTGATAAAAAAGACCATCAGTAAATTACAGAGTGCACTAAAAATACACACCATCTAACCAATTGTACAAATAGACCTAATTTGGCCACAGCGTGCCTCAGAGAAGATTTTTGGTTCTGAGGCCAAACGGGGGGAAATGTTTGTTGCCCTCACTGACTCACATAGCTACATTAACTCTCTTTTTTTGCCAGGTAGTTGAGTATGTTTTCATTAATGACAATGAAAAGCTTGCAGCCTGTGTTATAGAGCTAGCACTGAAACCATCTAAATCTATAAACCTGAATATTAGTTGGTAAGTGGAAACTCAAGACTTTACTAATGTTCAGTAGGTCATTCAACAGTATTTGATAGTAATAGAATACAATGTATCAGTTATAAACAATTGATAAGAACTCATTTGCACTCTCAGAAAATCAAGAAAGCCCGCACTGTAAGGGAATACTAATGACAAGTAGAGATTTTTAGACTCGTTTTTTGGCTTAAATGCAGATGGCCAATCCATTTGGCCATTTGATTGGCCTTTCTACCAATCCAAATATTTTTATTAATATCTCACAAATAAACTGTAAAGCAGATATAAAGCAGGACATGTGTGAATGGTGACCTGTTAGAAAGTGGTGCTCAAAATTAGATGAGGTTTTGTTATTGCTATGAAAAAGCAACACACAGAGCATATCTGTGTTTCCAGGAGAGACATCCACTACTTTGGAATTAAGGTATGTATCGTTGAGCCCGGGTTTTTCAAGACTGCAGTAACGAGCCTCGAACCCATTGAGAGGGAGCTCCATCGCCTGTGGAACCAACTCAGCCCTGAAGTAAAGGCCAGCTATGGAGACAAATACCTTGATAAATGTAAGTACAATGGGCCGTGGATCATCTGAAGCATTTTATTGATGCAGAATAGGTCAATTGTGTCACATTCTTACTGATTTTTTTTTACTCGTTTTTGTTTGTTTGTTTGTTTGTTTTTTGCTTTGATACACTAGGAATGAAATGTAACTGTTAATTTTAGATATAAAAAGTCACCTATTGAGAACTGACTTCCAAGATTCATACATAACATGTTAATCCAAAAATATGTTTGCGTGCTTTTAAAAAAATGAAGTATAAAAATAAATCATTGAACATCAGATAAGAATGAAGGATTCTTGGAAACTGCAAGTTTACTGTGGCTTAAAAAAATCACAAATTACTATCTGGTCACGATACATAATTCTCTTTTTAAGATGTCAATATACAGCGTTTGATCATGAATGCCGTCTGCGACTCTGACCTCACTAAAGTGACCAACTGCATGGAGCACGCTCTCTCTGCTGCCTACCCTCGCACCAGATACAGTGCTGGCTGGGATGCCAAGCTTGTCTGGATCCCCCTCTCTTACATGCCTTCCTTTGTAGTTGATATTGCACTGAAGCTCGTGCTTCCACGTCCTTCAAAGAGCGTCTGATTTGGGATGACCTACTTTATGTCATTTTGACGCAATAAGGAGGCTGACATTAAAAAAGTTTTTTTTTCTTGATCTATTTTCCTTATCAGAGTTGGCCATGCGATGATAATACGACAACTTTAGAAATTACTGTTATTATATTTATAAGTGTATACCATAGAAAAGTTTTTTTCCTCTGTAATGTCTCTTTGACACTTCTAGACAACACAAAAATACTCATACAGTTTACTGTATGCATATTATTCTGTTTGTTGGGTGTTTTAACGCTATTATTTAATGTGCTTGTTATGGATGTTGTTCACCATGGAAGCCTAAATAAAGAACATTTTAATATTAAGAAACTGTGTTTGTCAGAATGCAAGGATGCTGCTGAAACGAGAGTGAGAACGGGCTGCATACAGAAAGAAAATAAATAAAGCTTTGCTCTGAAACAATGTCTACAGGCTGAGCTACAGTTATGGGCAACATGAACACGGCAGTTAAATGAGAAGAAATATGCATATATGAAGACTCATGCACTGTATGTGTGTGATTGTCATGTTTTTAAGTTGTGTATGACTGTATTATTGTTGGATCTTTAAACATTATGTTATACTATTTTGTATACTTTCTAAATGCAGTTCAGTAGCTTCGGGACATTTTCAACTGACAGATGGAATTAATTACCATGATGGAGGGACATTATTACTGTTTTATGTTTTTTAATGCAAAGAAGCAGATAGAGTGAGTCATCTGAACCACTAGAAGAAACAAGAAAAAAAATATGTTTCGCCAGAACTGGGTTCACTATTCTGGCACATTGCTAGCCAACTATAAATGTACACCACATTACATTCAAACCTACTGACTGGAAAATCCACCAGGTGGTGCTAAAACATCGCATGAAAGTTTCAGAACTGAAGTGCTTAAAATTGCCGTACTATAAACATTAGATTTTTTTCCCCATAATGTTGCAAAAGCAGTTAAGTAATGCGTAAAATATTAATATTTCTTTCTTATGCGCGTTTTAATAATACTCCAACAGCTTTGGAGTTTCAGATTGGGAAATTTATTTCTAGCTTCTGACCGGCTCCTGTGCAGACTCTGCTGCTTTCAAATGCTCCTTGTAAAACTTTAACCACGCTTCAAACGAGTATTTGTGGAGTTGTGGGTTGTGACACATTCTAGGCTGTTTTAATAATATAAACCTGTTTCTTGTTGTGCTGTTTAAGTAGTCGAGATCTCTATATATTTTAAGTTAAATGTTTTTTTCCAAGTAAATGAACTGTACTTGTAAAGGGCTTGTAAAAAAACAGTCCCACCTTTCCGATGACACATGAAGGTAACAAAACTTCAACTTCAGCCTAAAGCTGGTAAGTCAACGACCTCGCACGATCAGCTGGCGTCCAGCTCAGAAAATAACAGCAAGGTTATCTGTGTTGATTTCATCCTGAACGAACTATCGCGAAGGCTTTATTTGTGCCATTTGTCGCAGCCATGCATTTCCTGAACGCGCTGCGCCTGTCAAACTCTGCTCAACTGATGGTCAAAAGTACAGATGTGGCGAAGAAGGTTTTCATCGTGCAACCAGCATGCTGTTTGGGCACGAAATCAATAACTCAGTTTCAGAGACGATCCCCTGCACTACGCGATCGTTTGCATCTGAAAATGTAAGTATGTGTGTGCTAAACTGGTGAGAATCAGCACCTTCTTACTGGTGTGAATTCGTTTAAACAGAACGCCTCCACACTAACTATTATCTGCCATATGCTGGTATATAATTATTTGTGCATAAGCAGTTGTTTTCTGTGTTATGGGCACAGAGAAACTATAGGAGGAAGAGAACAGTCACCATATGGACCTCCATATAGGTGGTTATGTCTGTGTGTGCAGCATGTGTAGGCTATAAAAGCAATCTTGTCTTTTATTTGTTGTTGTTGTTGTGTTTTTTTTAAGGGAATCCAACACTTCTTTTGATTGTTTTCCTCTTTTCAAGAGTGTGCTCTTCACTTCACCAGGAATATGCATTCAAAGCCATCTGGTTCCGGAGTGGAAAACATGCTTTTCTACACCATCACAGAGGGAAAAGAGCAAGTGCCCATCTCATACTTTACAGCAGTAAGCAGACATCATCTGTACATTACTTTATATGCACTGTTGCTACTGAATATATACTATCCTATTTATTGTACATACTGTGTGCAATGACATTAATGCTGACAACTTCTTATTTGCAGGCACTGAAAAAAAATGGCCTTCACCCATCCGATCCTCGCCTTAAAGACTGCATGGAGAAGCTCCGAGAGGCCGTGAAGGAATCTGTTGGCGAGGTGATGATGGACAAAGACCTTTTCCACAGGTGACAACCACCAGGCAACCAAGTCAAGCGGTTTCTCAAGGCTAAGAAAATTTATGTCAATAGCACCTCCAAAGCACACAGGCAGTTCAGAATGATTGGGAAATGAGTCAGTTAATCATTCTTTAATTAAACTAAAAAGAATCCAGTCTGACCAAAACTTAATTTAATTAAAGAATTTCTTTTGTATTTTCCTGCAATTTGGTTCTGGAGCAATTTGGGGGCTATGGTCTTGTATATACAGGTTTACTGCCAGGGCGTTATGAATATAACTATATACTGTGATTAGAAAGCCTGTGCCTTTCCTACTGACAAGAGAACAGTCAACTCCACTGTAGTAGACCATGATAACCCCCATATCTTGTAAATTTTACAAATGCAAACTGTTTAAAAGACAACCTCTATCTTCTACTGAAGCCCAATCAGTAGAAGATAGAGGAAAGTCTAGATAATTATTTTATATCACTTTGATTTTAAGTAGGCCTAACCATTGAAATTCTCTTTTCTAACGATGTAAAAAAAAGTTTTACTACACATTTAATCTCTGAGAATAATATCAGAAAAAAGTGGAATTACACAGTAAGTCCTAGATTTTCCATATGACATAGTAATGGTGGTGTAGTAGATGAAATAATTGAAAGAAATCTTTCACAAGACAGGAAACAAGAATTTCTGGTAGCTAATTGCTCAGACTGTCCTGCAATAACAAAACGGAAAGTTTCTCTTAATTCACAGAGAATGCTCTTTTCTTGTGGATTCACTGTAAAGTCAGTATTAAAAAACAGGAACTTTTCTCTTATTTAAATATTCATATATTTTTTAATTACTGTGGTGTAATATAAATTGTGACGGGGGAGGTCTTTAAAAGCATAAAAGGCTGCAAAACCTATTAAAATACAGTTAAAAATACAAACATTTATAACCCCTTCACGTTTTCCAAAGCTGTCCATTATGCCGATTCTGGCCCCTGGGCCTTAAGTTTTATACCCATGGTCTAGCTGGAAATGTGTGCACTTTTTAACTTAATAAACAAAGCATTTTACAATTAGGACACAGAGATCAGATCAGTAACCCTGTGGTTATTGGACAGCGAGCCTGAGCCACAGCTGCCTCTGTCTACAGAGTGTGATTCAATTTGGAAAAATGGTTTACATTGCTGGTAAACGCTTTATGTCTTTGATCACTACAAATCAAATGAGGCTAAGTTTCATTGCATTAGGGTTATTTACACTCAGTACGTCGACCCTCGCGCTGAACTGCCTGTAAGTGCTGACATTTAACTGTTAGTCCTGCGGCTGCTGGAGATATAGTTTTGCTCCCTTTTTTTTTAGTTTTTTTTGTTGTTTTGGTTATTTCATTGTGTTTTGTTTTTTATTATTAATATTATTTCTTATGCCACTCTGTGAAACCAATGCAGTCTGTGGATAAGCCCATGATTTGTCATTTGTGTGTCAGCTTAGCAAGTCAGAAATCAAGTTAAGAAAATGGCACACAGAATAACTTTTAGCAAACTCTAAAGGGCAACAGTGGCCAAGAAAAATGGATCTAATGCGGCAGCTGACAGGAAATTTAACTTTACATTTCTCCCACAATTATTGTTGTTTTTTTGTGGGACTTAATCTTCGTTACACTATCCCTCAGAGAGGGCTATCTTAGCTGTGACAGTCCATGGTGTTTTGTTTTCCATGCATGAGGAAGCAGGTGCAGGCATGAGACCAAACTATTTTTAGCCTGACCTTCCACTAACAATCCATTTTAGTACAGGATTTGTTGTATGTGATGTTATGCATAATTGTTTCTCTCTTCTTTTGTCTTCCACGTACTTTATGTTCAGTCATTCAGACAGGTTTAAGAATGATAAGGCGGAACTATAGAATGTGGAAGAAGTCGGAACTAAATGGACAACATTTTATGCAATTTTTAAGGCTATGGCTTCTGGTGTCACAAATTGTGCGCATACAGATTTTTTTTCTTTATAAATAATAAATTGAAAAACGGATACACTGTTTAATGTAATGCAAATACGTACAGGTATAGCTTAAGAATGTTAGATTTTTCATACAGTAATAAATTCACACACATTGTAATGTCATAATTAAATACATGCATTTCATCAAGATCCATCCCAAACATGGAGGTGTCAAAGTCGGTGTCAGGACATGTCAGTTTTATTTACTGTCGTTTTGATCAAAGGAACAGCTTCTCACACTTAATGAAAACTGACAGCTGCTGGCTTCCACTTACTCTAGAGGCTACGCACACACATGCACACCCACACACACACACACACACACACACACACACACACACACACACACACTCATGTGTGTACTCATATCCTTGAGGGGACATTTCTTTCCCTAGCCCCTTACCCTAACACTAGCCATCAAAAATAATTGCCTAACCCTAACCTAAACTCTCTTAATACCTAACCATAAACCAATTGTATCTCTTTCACTAAAACCACATTATGAATCGGAAATGCCTTCAAACTTGTGGGGACCGGGATTTTGGTCCCCACAAGTATAGTAAACTTCCATTCTTTGGTCCCCACAAAGATGTCTAAACAGGTACACAAACAACACACACACACACACACACACACACACACACACACACAATGAAAGTATTTTCTTTTTATTTAGAGCTCTTGAGTAATTCTGCATTATGCTGTTTTTGTCTTAGATGTGTAGGAGGAAACATTGTTCTGCTAATCCAGGCCTTCAGGAAGAAGTTTATCATCCCTGAGTTTGACCTGTTTGTACAGAAAATAAATGAAATCTACAAAAACGTGCAGAAGCAAAGTGATGGGAAGGTAAACTTTTCCAAATGTAGTTTTCCATGCTATGATGGTTTATTTGCTGCATAAAGCTTTCTCTTAATTCATCCTGCTGCCCCAACATCTGCACACATTAAACATAATACTTGATGAGTAAATAAGGAATCTCTTCTACTACATTAACATTAGTTCTAACAATTACTTCTGAATGAGCATTACTTCTGTCTTAACTTTAACTGTGTTTGTCATTGTGACTGCAGGTTGCAGACTACATTCCCCAGCTGGCTAAATTCAGCCCAGAGCTATGGGGTGTGTCTTTGTGTACAGTTGACGGACAGAGGTAGGAACTAAACATTTGAATAATCTAAATGAGAGTCTTTTATGAGATTTGTAGAGATCCATAGAGCTATTTCATTCATATATTATGAGATTCCTCATTAGATTGTGATTTCCCAGCTATCACTGAATGACAGCTGGAAACAAAGATTCTTCTTGGCTAGTGTGTTACTAGATTTATTTGATTTGACATATTCTTTGTAAGACAATTTGATATGAAAAAAATTTGCAGAACATCAGCCTATTTTGCTGTGCTTTTATTTTATTTTTCTCCATTTTTGAGTCACAGACTTACTGATACACATTTCTGTAGTCAAAATATAATTTTTAGTTCCAGTCTTATAATCTTCATACACAGTGCATTTGCTACAGATTTCAGAAGGTGGATCAAATATATATGAGCATTCTCTCAGTCTCTACTTAAACATAGTTCATACTTTTTTTTTAAAGTGATACTGCACATTGAGTATGACTATCACTTTATTTTCAAGATTGTGTAGGCTCTAAAGGTCTATTCGGTTTTCTTTTTGCAGGCACTCAGTAGGCCACACCAAACAGCCGTTTTGCCTGCAGTCCTGCGTGAAGCCCCTGCAGTATGCCATTGCCGTACATGAGTCAGAAACTGAGAAGGTTCACCGCTATGTTGGCATGGAGCCCAGTGGACTCAAGTTCAATGTGCTTTCACTTGATGATGAAGGTATGTAAAGCCTCATTACCTCCTATTGGATTATAAAAATCTATCAATGCAATCAGTGTGCGGAAATGACACCTGAAGTTCAAAGAAATCTAGTTATGAGGCATCTAGCACAGCACATAACATGTATCTTAGTTTCCTTTTACTCCTGCATAAGTGCTAAACTGACTGGATGAACAATGTCTTCGTCCAGATGAAACCCGAATTTATATTCTCATAATAATTTTATCATAATGTTTCTTTATTCTTCTGCTTAATATCAAGGAAGAAATCTAGCTGTGTTACTCTGACACAGAATTTAGGTCCTTCACAACTGTCACTGACACTGGTTTCCTTCTCTGAGAAATACTGTGAAATTCAGGCCATTTCCGTTCCACCGAGTCAAATTTTACACCAGTAATAATTAATGAAATGTAATAAACTGATTAGTTGCTATTTTGGTAACAAGGTAGTGTTTGTAATTGTTTTTCAGTTAAAAAAAAAAAAGAACAAATATTTATTGGTTGCCCTTTTCAAAAAAAAAAAAATTGGTAACACAATATACATTTAAAGACATTTTGTAAATTTGTTTTTGCAGTACTTTTTTGGTACAAATATTATTCTGTTATTCAGATTATATTTCATGCACATTAGGAATTTTGTCAGGACCCTTTTTTTAAAATATGCACTCGTGGTCAGAAATTTACATATACCCATCATGAGCATGTATGTTTGGTGGTAATTTCAGGAATTTTAATGATTTCTTTGACCTCTTCTTTTGGAAGAGGTGGAATGATTGTACAGCTTTATTTTGAAAAATATGAAAATATTTTAATATAAATATAAATTTGAATATACTTTGTAATTTCTCTAATCTAAAAAGGTTAAAAAGTATACATACAGGCCCAAATTAAAATTTTTAAATAACTGTTGTTGAAGCTTCTACAGTGCCTTTTAACCTGACAACGCCACACCCTATTAGTTTTGTTAGTAAGCTACAAGCTACAAGTGGTATTGTAGTCTCTTTTTGCCAGCATAAAAAGAATTTGTTTGACACTCATTGGGTTGAACATTAGCATTGAACTCTGCTAAGAATAGTGGTCAAAAATCCAGTCCTCCCAGTAGCATGTTGATGGTGACCAAAAGCATCTGGTTGAGGTGCAATTTGTTAAGAGTGGGGGCAGCATGTATGTTTGAACCTGCATATATATTTTTGATGTTGTTTGAATTAGAGAAAATCCACAATAATTGCAATCTTGTGTACCCAATTCTTGGTTTTTTTTTTACATAATTGAAGATGTTTGCTGTACAATCATTCTACCCTGGAAAAACAGCAGTGCAAAGAAATCATTAAAATCCCCAAATTACTATAACAAGTGTATATAAACTTCAGACCACAACTCTTATGTTGATTCACATATTATAGAGATTGATTTCAGTCCTTTGTACAAAATCATTATTTCATAAAGAATTTGTCTTCAACCCTGTGTCTTATCTTACTGTCCCGTCTCATAGATAAGCCCCATAATCCCATGGTGAATGCTGGAGCCATTTTGATCAGCTCTCTTATCAAGGTAGACATATGAACAGTTATCACTCTCTTTTTAGTGAAAGACTGTGGCAGCAAAAGGTTAGTTGCAGATTTTATATATTTTTGAAGCTCAAATCTCTTAAATAAAGAAATTAATATTAAAATATGCACTAACTAACTATGTTTACCCTGCTGTTGAGTAAGACTCTTGCAGCAATGGTACTTTGCAGTAGCAAGTTTAAAAACAACTTAATGCATCAGATGTTTTACTGCATGAAAATTTGTGATGTTCTATAGCATATTCAATGTTTGCCTTAAAGTTGGACCACCTGGTTTATGATCATTACCTGCTCTTCTCTTACTGCTGATAATAGGATACTAAATCATGCAATCAGTAACACATTCGTGTTTTTATACTGTGCAATTAGTACCAGCTTCTGAATGCAGGAGCTGAGTGAATGTGGCAATTATACTCAGTACTGTTTGTTTTTACACAAGCAAGCGACTCTCCTTGTTTTCAGCCTCACTCAAATAAGGCAGAAAAGTTTGACTATGTGAGTAATGTACCTCCAGTTTTCTACTCTGTTTAGACCATGAATATAAAAATGTAGGATTATTATTTTGGTGCTCAGAGGTATGCTGAAAAAGCACAGACGTTTTTTTTTCCAGGTTATGGAGTTTGTGAAAAAGATGGCTGGCCAAGAATATGTAGGATTCAGCAATGCCACGTGAGTGCATTTCAAAATAGAGTTGGAGTATTTTGTATTTATTTGCCTCCGTTTGGCACAAGCATGAGGGAAAAGACTTACTGTGTTATGGGTTTAGTCCACTACCTATTGCATTATTGATGTTTTTTTTTTATATTGATTTCTGCTCTTTCTTTGTCTCAGGTTCCAGTCAGAAAAAGAAACAGGCGACAGAAATTTTGCCATCGGATACTACATGAAAGAGAAGAAGGTCAGTTTCAGAACATTTGGACCTCTGTTTAAAATCTCAGACTTCAAAAATTCATTTTTGTTTTTTGTTCTAGATGAAATATTATAGAGTCTAACCAGTTTAGATCATGCAGTTGTGTACATGTTGAAAAAACATTTCCTAAAGCTCACATATATGAATTTAAAAGTTTCAACTTGATAGTACTAACCAAATGACATTAACTTGTTTGCCATTTTATGATGTGTGACAATCATGGTGACAATGAAGGATCAAGTGAATAAGGCCTGTAGGACACAAATCAGAAGCCAGCCAGAAACCTCCAAGAACTACTGATTTTTTCCTTAGCAATGGTTGTATTACTTTTAATATGTTGGACAACTCAAGCAATGTCCGCATGAGGTCATGTTAGAAACTCAATAGATGACACACATGACAAGGAAAAGCTAACATTTAAAACCTAAATACTGTATTTTTATCCATTTTAACCTATTATAAAATGTATATTTTGATCAGGTACTCAGCAGTCATATTCCACATTTATAATAAGGTTTTTATATTATTTAATTTTCATGAAACCAAATTGCCAAGTTTCAGATAAATATTCTGCTTAATTTGGTCAATCAGATACTCATGATGATAATATTTCACTCACCAGTGTTTTCCTCTGGGAGCAGATATGATCGATGCCCTTGACTTCTACTTCCAGGTAAAATGTCAATAAAAAGAGTCTTTTGCAGCCTTTTATTTATGAAAAATGATTCAGTAGTTTCAATAATAAACTGACTATTCCTCTCAGCTTTGCTCCATTGAGGTAACCTGTGAGTCAGGAAGCATCATGGCTGCCACTCTGGCCAATGGGGGAATTTGCCCAATTACAGGCGAGCGTGTCCTGAGTACTGAGGCTGTGCGAAACACCCTGAGCCTCATGCACTCCTGTGGCATGTATGACTTCTCCGGCCAGATGGCTTTTCATGTGAGTAACAGCAGGATGTGATGGAACAAGCGCTTCACTGTGTCACAACAAAAATAGCAATAATCTCATTACCTAGAACAAATGGCACATTCAGCCTCTCGTTCTCATCTCACAGGTGGGCTTGCCTGCAAAATCAGGAGTATCCGGTGCAATTCTGTTGGTGATCCCCAATGTGATGGGAGTGATGTGCTGGTCTCCTCCACTGGACAGGGTTGGAAATAGTGTCCGAGGAATACACTTCTGTCAGGCAAGAAAACAGTTTCTGTTTTATTATATTTAGACCACTTATGTTTTGTTTTTTCACGTTAATGTTTTAATTTGAATTTTTAATGCAAGTAGAACATCCTGGCCTTTCTAATATTTTTCTCGTGTTTAAATTGGCTCTGAAGTCTTCAATACTTCAGGCCTTACGGTAGAAGCTTTAATTTTTTTTAAAGATGATGATGATTACAGTAATAACCAGTTTAGTTTGATAAATAATTTGCAGTCATTTTGTGGCTGTTATATTCTGTTTTATAATATTTAATTTATTTTTTTTTGACAGAACAAAACAGAATAAATAATTTTTTTGTTCCCCCCCTAAAGATTAAATCATACTGTTTTTGTTTTCTTAGGAACTTGTGTCAGTGTTCAATTTTCACAATTACGACAACTTGAGGCACTTTGTAAAGAAACAGGACCCTCGCAGACAGGATGGAGATGACAGGGTGAGTTGCTCGTATTTTGTTTGGTACTGTATGTAATATGCGCTGTGCTCTAAGCCTCCATGTTTATGGCTCTGTGATGTTTTTGCAGAACAAGTCTGTTTTCAACTTGTTGTTTGCTGCCTACAGTGGAGATGTATCGGCACTGAGAAGGTAGATAATCGAGACTCCTGATTTTGTCTGTCCTCTATAAAACATTTCCCTCACAATGTCTAAAACAGGCCCTGGATCAAATTACCTCAACAATGTTTATTACTAGTAAGGTGTAGTGAACAAAATGACCTTTTATACCTAGTACAGAATCAGAGCATAGAGTATAAGACCTATAAGAGTTCTCTTTTTCTTTTTCTTTTTTAATAAGACAAGTGTGGAATCCACAATTTGTTTCAGGGAGGAGATACAAATCTCTTTGGGGTTGCATCAGTAAAGGCAGCTAGTGAAAAAATCTGCCAAATCAAACATGCAGGGCTACCCGCTGCGGCGACCCCTTGTGAATAATGGAGCACTTGAAAGTAGCTGACTGATTTGTTTTGCAGATTTGCACTTTCTTCCATGGACATGGACCTCAAAGACTATGATTCTCGAACAGCGCTTCATGTTGCTGCAGCTGAGGGTAAGCGTCATAAGTTCAGGCTAATTTTACACTTATTCGGTCGTTTTTTTATTTACTTATTTATTTTTAAATTAATGACTTCAAAACAAGTGCAGTTAGCTTAAGTCATCATCTGAGATCAAACTAATCATGACTTTGATCCAAACAACATACATTTAAAGTTTTGCTACAACACAAAAGTTTGTCATAGATGTTTAAGAAAACTTGGTGTAATTGTAAGATAACAGATGCAGAAAGTTGCAGATTTCAGTTTTAATGATGATTGGTTGGTATAGCAGATAAAAACAACCTTTATTACCTATCCACCGTCTTCTCTCAGTTAAAAGAATGGCGTCTGTTCACTCTGTCATTTCTTTTCATTGCTGACTGATACAAAAATACTTAAACTTGTTAAATCGTTTGTTTTGATGCTCACAGCAGTAATTAGCGCAAAGTTTTCACTTTGTTTATTCTCATGATTAACAGTAGAGGTTCAGTACCTCTGGCTCACATTATACAAGCCACTAATGAACCAGCTCATAAACCCTTACAGAGCACCATATGGTAGATTATTTGTCTTCTGTTGCAATGTTAGTTTATTCACAGCACAGATTTAATACTCTGCTGCCACGGCTACAGCAGTAACATTTTTCTTGAAAAGAGCCTCGTAAGCAAACTATTTGTTTCGAGGATTAACATGGAAGTAACAGCAGTTTTCTTCCAAAAGGGAAAAGGCAAAGATTCCTAAATGCCATTCTGAGCTGGATTCCAATAGAAGGAATTAGTAATTACATATTTATTGTTGTTTGTTTTTATTTTAGCAGATTTTCTTCTCCATTTCTAATTCTGTGATGCTACTAGATTAATTTGTCAATGGTGACAATTTTTTTTTTTGCTTTTTAAAAATTATATTCTTAGGTCACATGGATGTAGTAAAATTCCTCACTGAAACCTGCAAAGTTGATCCATTTGTAGAAGACAGGTGAGATAAATACCTTGTATATAATTCTAATTATAATCAGTTGATTAGATTAACCCTGTACTGTCATACTACTTCATTGTAAAGAGCCTTTTTCCATCAACTAAACTTTTCCAATTATTTATCAGCACACGATGTTAATACCACAGTTTGTATACTCTTGGATTTTGTCATCCATAGTTTTATGAATTGCCTCTCCATCACTTGCAGGTGGGGGAATCTACCGGTCGATGATGCCATGCAATTTGGGCATGACGAGCTAGTGAAGGTGCTCAAAGATTACCAGCAAGAGTGCAGGCAGCAGGAAAAGAAGCAGAGTGAAGCTGTGCATCCCCAGAAGCTTGACACCATTGATGGCATGGTGTGATAGCTAAAATGAAGTTCTGAAATTGTAATACATCAGGGCATTTGTGCAATTTTCCAAGTTTAGAAATATGGGTGTCCATTTGTAGCACGTAACATGAGTGACGCACAAACAACAGAATATAACTGTCATGGAGCTTTATGAAAGATTTTCTTCAAATTCCAGTCAGGTGAATATTTTATTTAGCATTTCCTTTTTGTGATTTTGAGTCTTTTTGTTAGAAACACTAGGTAAGTAGGTTGGTGCCACCCATGTAATTTTGAGCTTGTTTTGAGTTGAGGTTTAGGGTCTTTCCCTCTTGTTTTTGCTTTTCTAGGATAATAGCTCAGCTAAGTTTTGGTTTTGTCGTTTTGGTGTTTTTTTTGGCACAACCTAACTGTCCCTTTCTCCCCCACATTTGTTGTTTGAGTCTGGGTTATTTATTTTGTGAGAGCGCTGCCATTAAACCTTTTTCATAACACCTGTACCGAGTTTCCGGAGTTGTTGTGTTATCCCCTCCTGCCCTCGAGGAGACGCAACAATTGCATTTTTAGAACACTACAGTCCGTATAGCATTTCTGTTCTATAATGTATATATGTGTGAGGTTCACTTGATTGATATCTCTGTCAAAGTGCAACCGAGTACAATGCAGTGCCACACAAAGGGAAATTGATGCCACCTGACTCAAAGTTACATGGATTTCAGCAGCAGGTGACAGGGTGTAAAAGATTTTTGATGACAGGAAGGTGCTTGTTGTTTTTGTTCTATAAAGGATTTTCCCTCCTTTGCCTTGTCTGAATGTTGTGTGACACTCGTCTTTTTTACTCCCAGTCAAACCAACTATCAAACTCAGCGTATTTAAATTATTTGAAATCCATACCATAAACACAATGACATAATATCACAGTTATAACACATAGTGACCAACTTAATGTTAATTTATTATGTATATGTTTATACCTTGACTTGGGAAAACTGCATGTTTTTTACTGTAAAAAAAGAGACAATGAGTGTCTCAGTGTGGTACTTTATGATCTCCAGCCTCATAATAAATTAGGTTCCAAAAACTAAATGATGTGAAAGGTTTGGCATTAAAGCCATGTATGCCACCCATAGCTTGATTTTATTTTGATTTTATTAAGCTAGTCAGTGCTTCATAGTGTGACAAATTTGATATTAAATATTTTGCAGCACCGAGTAAATCAACTGAATACATGATGAAAAAGCAGCAGGAGTGTGTTTTGCATAATCAAGATATTTCAATGAAAACAAATGGAACAAGTAATGTAATAAGAACTATTTAGCGAGATATAACAAATGTGCACCACATTATTTTAACCATATAAAGACTGTACCATGAAATAATTGCCAAAAAAATCACATTTTCTGAAACAGGATTGTGTATTTAACCTTCTGAAAAATGTAATAAATAAATAAATATAAATGTGCATATATGAGCTTATATTGCATATATGAGCTTTAATTTACACTATTTTTGTTAAATCCAGTATTTTTGTGCAATTTCTTGCTTAGAAGTCACACTTTTAAGTCTTTAAGAGTCTTTAAGACTCACAAAAACTCATAACAAATATGATACCCTTGACATTACAGGGTTGACTTCCCTCTCCTTACCAATGCTTTATTTATAAATGTAGAGTTAATAATTTTTGACAGATTGTACCTTTAATTTCATGCATATGATACAATAAACTGTAGCCACAGAGCACAAATGCTTCATTTTTTCTTTAATCCATCAGATGGCACTATGTGCCTGTCCAACATGTGTCCGTGTTGTCTGCAAACTGGTCAACCTACAGTATCAGTTGTTATCAGGTGGAACAGTGTGCCTTAGATTTGTGGAGAGAAAGAGCACTGCTGAGCAATAAAGAGCTTATATAAGATTAAGCTGACGTTCAGAGAGACTAGTGCCGCCTGAAGAGACTATGGTGGTCCTGACAGGATCTTGAACCCATTCCACTAAAGAAATAAACAGAAACAGACATTTTCTGTCACAACAAATATGCAGTGCAATATTTTCTACACATTTTACTTGCTCTTTAAATGGATTTATTTTAGTCTCTTAGACCAATATTTCTCTTTTTTATTTTGGAAAGTGAGCAAATATGTCACAACTGTATCCAGCACTTTGAATGATTTACAAAGAAAATCTACACCACCCAGTCGATTAGGTGCAGCTCTTGATTTGAACGCTTTACTGTGTGTAGACTGGTGCTCTTCATTTTCTCAAAAGCATTCAATAAAATCGATTGTTGGCAATTGCTACCTTGTTGAAGCCTGTGGTTTTTTTCTACCTTAAGAAGACAACTGGTGAGGTATCAATGTGTGTCTTCGGAAAAGACAAACACATTTGTATTGCTTTCCACAATGATTAAAATTTTGGACTCTGGACAGTTCGTGACTCAGATAAATTGGACCTGCTTATTAATGTCGTCGACAAGTGTTCATTTTTTTAATGATTTGAACTTTTTGGCATGAAGGAGGTTTAATGAAGCCACAAATATAAAAGCTGACTTTAATGAGTTGGCACAGGGATGTGCGTGAATCCCACAAGGATGTTAGGATTTTCTCAAGTTGACAAGGTTGTTCTGCCATTCAGCCATTGCCTTCTGGAGATTAGGTTTCAGAGAATGCATTTGCAGCAGTGAGATTAAAGGTGGTAATAGCAAAATACCTGAATCAGATCAGTTGCTATTAAATTTAATTTTAATACTTATAGTTCCAGTAGAATGATTCCTACTAGCATTCGTGTTTGACTTAATTTTCTTCTATTGTAACTTCAAGTTGTGATTTATATTCCCTTTTTGGTTTCTAATAAAATCATAGTGAATCTATCAATATTTCAGCATCAGTAGCATATATATAAATATATATATACGTTTCTGTAGCATATGAGTGGGTCACACATGTGGGTCAAACAGACTTTACCAACAACTGTGTTTGTACTGTCATGGTTCATCAGTGGCTGCCCTGGCATGCTGTTCTTACTATGTTCACCAGGGAGGCGTCTGTTCTTCTGTGTTCTTCTGATTCTCACACCTGCGCACACACACCTGCGGCTCATCATTGCTGATGGATCCTGACAGTATTTAAGGCCGTGTTGGAGTAGTGTTCCTCACTGGATTGTTGTACTTACTTCTGTTAGTGTAGCCTGGCTCGCGTTTGTACTTCCCTGTGGTCCCTGGTGCTTCTTCTGACCTCTGTGTCCATCTACCTGTATAGATTGCCCTGGACCTGACCAGAATGAGAGTGGGTCACGGTGTTGGATTGGACGGTGTGTGTATCATGTTCTGGACTCTACGAAGAGGTGCTTGACGTGTGTTTCCCTGACCCTCTCTTGGAATCCCCAGAACACTGTCGCTCTGTATATGTAAATATTTCACTGGTGTTGTATATAAATCCCCTTTTGACTGCACAGTTCAGAGTCCTGTCATTGAGCCCTGCTTCAGTAACAGTGAGATGTAGCAACAGTCAGTGAGATGACTCATGAGAACATAACACAAAGTTTGTATTCACAGTAGCTTACCCCTGACAGTGTGTTAAATTGAGAGGTGAACATTCTTCATCACAAGAATGTGATTAATCAAGTGCAAAAAATGATGAATATGTGTAATTAGCGAACTGTTTTTCATTAACATGAGGAACGTAACCCTCTTGCAGAGATATTACAGATACGCTGACCTTTGGAATTAGTTCCACCAACTGAGAAAATGGTTAAAAAATGTTATGCATTAATTCTGTGTTGATTAACTTGTGTATTAATTTCTAATATGTTTGCTAATCTTGTCCACATATCACAAAGAGATGTGCACAGATTTTTAAATATTCACAGAGGCATGAAAGCATTTCTGTTAAAGAATTGGGGATTTATGAAACATTAGACAACACAAATCTAAATAGACTTTAAAAAGTGCATTAAGCTAAAACTTAATCACCAATTTACCTTTAGTATTATATATAATATAATGCTATTATAGAAAGAAACCCATACAAAAACCGCAGGATAACCTTTTGAGCTTGTAACAACAGAAACAGACAGTCTTGTTCTGGTCTTCTGAAGTTTTCAACCACATCACACAGGCAGCACATTAAAATCATCCATGTGTCAGCTCACGTCACTCGTTCAGTTCGGGCTTGCACACCAGCAGTTCTTCCACAGTTGCACAACTATTAGGTTCATGGTTGGTGATATATCTGGATTGTCAAACTCTTCTACTGGGACATCTGGACATCTACACTTTTAGTGGTAGTTGTCATGAAGCCATTGCCATTATGATGCAATACTTACAGCTTATAGCTTTTCACATTTAAGCTGCAGTTTGCTGCAGTCTCCCTCACTCATTCTTTCTCCACAGACAAGTTGATATATTCTGTACACAAGCAGTGTTTACTGAATCCATGAGCGGTCAAAGATGAAAAAATTACATTTTAAATGAAATCACGACACAGGGTGTCCTTTTGCCATGATTGCTGTGTAGTAAAGATTGTAGGTCTTTTGATTTCAGTATGTGTGTTAACAAACTTTAAAATATCAGAAAACAGTAGTCTGCTATAGTAAAATCAATACCCAACTTCTCCACTTCTCCATTCCA